TTTATCGTTATCATCATCCTTATCATCCTTCTCCTCATCATCATCATTATCACCATCATCATCATCAGCAGCAGCAGCATTATCATTGTCATCATTATCCTCAACATCCTCATCATCCTTATGTTCCTTTTCCTTCTCCTCCTCTTCCTGTTCCTCCTTCTCATTATTAGTATCATCATCGTCATCGTTGTCGTCTTCGCCGTCGTGGACGTCATCATCATCATCAGACAGACCCATATCGATCGATTCCACATCTTCTTGGCTTGACGTCACTTCCAGTGTCTCTGAACTGTCCTCGGCTACTCTTGACAGCTTACTGTTTCAAAGCCAGAAGCTGACTTCAATTGCTAATACTGGTAACAGCAAATGCTCAACAACCATACCTTTTACCTCCAATATTGGTGTTAAACCCTCAGCAACCCTTCAAAAGTCTTTGTTATGGACTGGAACTGTCACTGACCTTCAAAGGACGAATTCAATTTCCAATACTATTACCACCATTTACTCAACATCGCTATCTAGCACCTCCAATTATTTTAAAACCACAGAAACCCTCGGAAACTCCCCGTCAAGGACAGAAGTTGTGACTGGAACTCAAGACACGATTTTAGTTTCTGACACTGCTACCGGGGTAACTGGTACCTCCTACATTTATTTCAAACCAACATTAAACCTTCAAAGTTCTGTATTATGGAAAGAGACTTTGTCTGAGCAAAAAAGAACTACTTCAATTTCCAATACGGACACCATCATTAGCGAAAAATTGGTTTCTGGTAATACCAACACTGCTGTTCAAGCTACAGAGACCGTTTCATCAATTTACACATCGCCCCTTGGGATTTCCCAAACGTTATTAGCATATAGCGTTGCAATAACGAGCCCACCACGTGCAACGAAAGATTCAACGACCAGTAAGTCCACAACATTAATAGCAAACACGTCGTACATGACCATTAGCACTCGGCCTGATAGTCACGTGACAGAGGCGACTATCAAGACAATTACCCCTAGTCAACCATTCACAGGATCAGTGGCAAGTTCTGTCATTAAAGGTATGGAGAAGACTTCACGAGGTAGGATTTTAAAAGCCGGTACAGACTTTGTCTGAGCTAGGTTTCGGATGTTGCAAA